AGCAGACCAGGCTTTTCTCGCCGACGCCTGGGGTAGAGCAGCTGGGGGGTTGCTGGGTTGGTCCCACAGTGCCGAGGTGCGGCGCTACTGGACCAACCCAGCAGCACCCCAGCTGCTCTGCCCCAGGCGTGTCCGATTCAGCCGCTGCTGGTCAGTATCAACAGTGGCTGAATCTGGATGCCAGTTCCGACTTACATACAAATTCAACATAAGAACAAACCTACGGTCCCTATCTTGTACGTAACCCGGGGACTGCCTGTATATAATCTAGGTCATGGTAATCTAGGTCACAAAGTGTAAAGAATTATAGATCATATTCAAAAGAAATGGTCTCACTTTTCCTGAAGAAAAGAATAATATAGCACAGTCTATGAACTGTGACCTGAGCATCTTAGTGTACCTAAATACTCTAAACAGGTCCACTATTAAACAGCAAGCCTGTGTTACAAAAGGTAGACACACTTCCTTAATCCAGGATTCTGTAATTATCTGTGATAATACTTGCAGTTGCTTCTCCAAGCCTACTAGCACTACTTCACTTTTATCTTGGTTGACCACCAGTCTTATTCAACCTTCAATTTTATTCAGACATTGTGTCATTAAAACTACTGTATCAGCTGTATAAAATTAAATAATCAATTATTAACACACTAAAGATGCTGCACACTGCATCTTATTTCTCCTTACTAATTTCTTACACTGTAAACAATTTAGATTGTAAATTCTTCTGACCAAGAATCTTGTCCTGTTACTTATCTTATAAATCATCCAGGACACTACCCTTTCAATTAACATCCCCTTTCCCTCTCAAAAAATCTCTACTTACAACAGCCTTTTATAAAAGATTATATAGGGCACAGATATCTGCCCATTAGTGTACACAATGGGTTCTTTATGGGATATGAGAAACCCAGAACATAACTTAATGGGTTATGTAATAACTATACATGCAAGATAGGATTTCAAAAGAGCTTTTTTTATACTCGAGATGTTTATATGATCATTAATAGCTATATTTTAAAAAAATGTTTTATTGAATAAATATAAAATTCTAATAAAATCAGTCTAAACCAAGTAAATCCCCATGAGCTTTACCTGTTATTATTTATGGACAAAATGCAGTAGATTGCTTCAGAAAGTAGACATAATAAACAAAAAATTCTCTCTGTTTTATAGTCAAAATTTTTCTTACTTTTCCTCCTTTTAAATAGAGGTTGAACCTCTCTGGTCCAAGACTTTCTGGTCCAGCAATATCCATGGTCCAGAAGGCACAGGACACACAGCCCAATCAGCCCAGCAGCTGCAGGGGGCCAGGAATGGGCAGCTGGCCAGAAGAGGAGCCAGCCGGGAGATCGGTGCCCTGAGAGAGCCTTGACCTCTCCTGGTCTGGCAAACTCACTTGTCCGGGACCAGTTGGGTCCCAAGGGTGCCAGATCAGGAAGGTCCAACCTGTATTAGCATCAAGACCAAATAAGATACTCACACTGTGTCTCAGATCCTGAAAACACACATATGCTTAAAACTTTACTACCACAAGTAATCCTTCTGCAGCTAACAGGATGATTTGTGTTAATAAAATTAAGCATATGCATATCTGAAAGCTCAGAGCATAAGAGGAATGTAAATGAGCCCGATCAAATAATGCAAATGAAATGCGGATTTAAAAATCTCATGCTTCATTTGCATAATCATGAGAGAGCACTTTTTCGAAAAACAAACCACAGTCTAGATGGGGTTCTTTCGAGAAAAACAAAACAAAACAAAAAAAAACCTTTTTTGAAAGAACCCATATTCCTGAAAAAAAAAAACAACAACACTTTTTTCAAATAACCCTGTCTAGACTACAGTTTCTTTTTCAAAAAAACCTTTTTTCAACAAAGCGCTCACACAATTATGCAAATGAAGCATGAGATTTGTAAATCCGTACTTCATTTGCATTTTCAATCAGGCTCATTTACATTCCTCTTTCGGGAAAGGAATGTAGTTTAGACATAGCCTAAGAGAGGAAGCCATTCAGATAACAGTCACAACACCGAATAAGTTGATGTGACTTAAGATAATGCACTTCATTTTATTTTAGCAATTCACTGACCTCACCCTGGGCATTAAGTTATTCAACATATTTAAAGATACCTAAATGCTCTTTTCTACTAACCAGTCACTAAATATTCTCCTTCCCCTTCATGTCAATTTTTCTGAGCTTTTAAAATTCCCACTAGTATTCAATAACTAGCCAATTAGCCTGTCAGAAGACGGGATTTTCAGGTCTCTCCTCCACGTCGGTCTTCTCTCCTGAGCCTCAATCTCTCGCTCCGTCTCGCTCTCTCCCCTCCTCCTACTGCCTCTCTCTCTCTCTCTCAGCTCTCCTACCCCTCCCACCACTCTCCCTGTCTCTCTTTCTCTTCTCCTCCCCCTCCTGCCTCTCACTCGGGGGACCGCAGAGCCGAAACGGCCATTTGGGCTCCACACTCCCTGTGCTGCATGAAGAGCGTGGAGCCCAAACAGTTGCTTGTGTCATTTGCTCCCCCGCGGCGGCCTGGCTGAGCAGTGCAGAAGTCAGCCAGGCACAGCGAGAGGCGAAGGGGGGCAGGGCAGTAACATTCACGGCCATTCATGGTTTCTGTAAAGGGAAATCCTGTCTTACTAATCTATTAGAGTTCTTTGAAGGGGTTAACAAGCATGCGGATAAGGGGGAATCCAGTAGATATAGTATACTTGGATTTTCAGAAAGCCTTTGACAAGGTCCCTCACCAAAGGCTCTTGTGTAAATTACATGGCCATGGGATAAGAGGAAAGGTCCTTTCTTGGATTGAGAACTGGTTAAAAGACAGGAAACAAAGGGTAGGAATAAATGGTAAATTTTCAGATTGGAGAGGGGTAACTAGTGGTGTACCCCAAGGGTCAGTCCTGGGACCAATCCTTTTCAACTTATTCATAAATGATCTGGAGAAAGGGGTAAGCAGTGACGTAGTAAAGTTTGCAGATGATACAAAACTGTTTAGGATAGTCAAGACAGAAGCAGACTGTGAGGGACTCCAAGATGATCTCACCAAACTCAGTGATTGGGCAGCAAAATGACAAATGAAATTTAATGTGTATAAGTGTAAAGTAATGCACATCAGGAAAAATAACCCCAACTATACGTACAGTATGATAGGGGCTAATTTGGCTATGACAAATCAGGAAAGAGATCTTGGAGTTATCATGGACAGTTCTCTGAAAACTTCCACACAGTGTGCAGCGGCGGTCAAAAAGGCAAATAGGATGCTAGGAATTATTAGGAAAGGGATAGAAAATAAGACCCAGAATATCTTACTGCCCCTGTATAAAACTATGGTACGCCCACATCTTGAATACTGTGTACAGATGTGGTCTCCTCACCTCAAAAAAGATATTTTGGCCTTGGAAAGGGTTCAGAAAAGGGCAACTAAAATGATTAGGGGTTTGGAACGGGTCCCATATGAGGAGAGGCTAAAGAGACTGGGACTTTTCAGTTTAGAAAAGAGGAGACTGAGGGGGGATATGATAGAGGTCTATAAAATCATGAGTGGTGTGGAGAGGGCTGATAAAGAAAAGTTATTTATTAGTTCCCATAATAGAAGAACTAGAGGACACCAAATGAAATTAATGGGTAGCAGGTTTAAAACTAATAAAAGAAAGTTCTTCTTCACACAGCGTGTAGTCAACCTGTGGAACTCCTTGCCAGAGGAGGCGGTGAAGGCTAGGACTATAATAGAGTTTAAAGAGAAGCTAGATAATTTCATGGAGGTTAGGTCCATAAAAGGCTATTAGCCAGGGGATAAAATGGTGTCCTTGGCCTCTGTTTGTCAGAGGCTGGAGAGGGATGGCAGGAGACAAATCGCTTGATCATTGTCTTCGGTCCACCCTCTCTGGGGCACCAAGTGCTGGCCACTGTCGGCAGACAGGATACGGGGCTAGATGGACCTTTGGTCTGACCCAGTACGGCCATTCTTATGTATGTTCTATTTCACATTGAAAGCATTTTTGCTGTTCTTTATATTACTCTGCTAAATCACAATTGAAAGTGGCCGTTTGAGCCCCGCACTCCCCATGCAGCACGGGCCGCCCAGAGGGAACAGCCAGCATTTCAGGCAACAGCGCCGCCCAGAGGCAACAGCCAGCATTTCAGGCAACAGCGCCGCCCAGAGGGAACAGCCAGCATTTCAGCGTTACAGACACAGACACTGGGCTACTATACATATGATATGCCGTGATTTTAATTAAGAATGTGCAATATATTTCTTGTTTTAAGCGCTACCTAAGAGTATGCCATTCATTTAAAATTTCCATTTGTACTAGGTATAAGACAAAGCTACCAAATCTTAAAAGCTGTGGGGATTATATTTTTTCATACATGTATGAGACAATCATCTGAGTAACAGTCAAAAACACTAATAGTTTTATTGGTAATAGTATTTCCAGTCAATGAAAGGATAACTTTATCAGCTCACAATGGCTATAAAACTATGTTAAAATCAATTGTTTAAGTTGGACAGGATATAATTAACACAGGCTCAAAGCACTCTCCAAAATTACCATACTACACATGACAAAGTTACCTAATATGAAGGACAGTTTACTGACCAAATTGGAGAGGCACTATTAAAATGTTTCAACCTATTTGTCATATCTAATTTTAATCTGTATGATGATTTACATGAAAGACAACCTAATCTTTTGCACTTTGAATATACAATCACTATTCAAAAGCCACAAACAGAAGCACATTCATATTGTTTTCCTGCATGAGGAATGCAAAAGATTAGACTAATTAAAACTTCTGGCAAAATCTAGAAATGGAGAGTCCAAGAAAACTGAACAGTTGGCAAACTTAATTCTCAAACGGAATATAAATCCAGTGTATTAAATCCAAATTTTGAACAGTTGCACATGGAAGGCTGATGCAATTACCTGCAACATCAGCTCACAGTCATCTCTTCCAACAAAAATCATCTCTCGTGGCAGCCTATGGCGGGTGCCTCCACTGCTCACCAAAAACCAGGATGTTAAGCTCATTTTCTGCTTAGCTGCTAGGTCCTTGGCAAAGCTACGTCATCCTACAGTGAGACAGACAGAGAGGGAGAAAGAAATCCATTTAGTTATTTTTAGCTATAGCGCCTACTCAGCAAGAGCTGTGAGCTCTTATATAGGAATCTGAAAAAAGCAGTTCTCAAGAGCATGTATATTTCCCAATGGATTGAATCCAGATGTCATGGGAAGTGACACAGACTACTAGATTTACATACAATCTGAGCACTTTGGTTCATGTAACTAGACACCCTCAATTAAATAGGCAAAAACAACAAATGGTCTGGTAGCACTTTATAGACTAATGAAACATGTAAATGGTATCATGAGCTTTCGTGGACACAGCCCACTTCTTCAGATGACTGGCTACCTCCTGAAGCTCCTCAATTAAATAGGACAACCTATTCAAAATGAATCATTAGCTAAATAAACAATGCCTGAATCATATTTTCAAAGAAAGCTTTTAGCATCTAACTGCTTATTACACAGGAAATTAATATATTCCTGTTACATTTTCTCTCAGGAGAAATGGATGTATCAAATCTTGTCTGTTGCTGATGGTGATAATGTAAGTAGCTTGTATGAAATCACCTGTTTCGATACCAAGTAGTCCAGTTTCATTTTTCTCAAAAACAAATTATACAGAGAAAAAAATGGAAGAAATTGTTGGAATATTTAATTATGCCCTTTCTAAGCAATCCAAAATTAAACAGCAAAAAAAAGTGTATTAATTCTTTGCTCTTCATCTGAAAAATTGAAAAGCAGCCATTACTAGATCACATCTTTCAAATGGAAGTCTCATTTATAATGAATCCTCAACACACTTATTTACTATTGAAAACAAAACAAAAAATTAAAAGCTTTAACAGACCCAAAGTATGGCTACTAATAGTCCTTCCACCAATATTTTATATGGTCTCTCGACTGATTGATCAATCAGCAGTCTAGGATATAGGGCACTAAATGTTTTTTCAGATGAAGAAAAATATACCCATTAAATACTCTGAAAGTTTGAAAATTAATGCACAAGTAAACAGGAAGGAGGATATCAGTGTGTTCAATTACTGGGTAACACAGCAAGATTTAATTAGGAGCACCACCGCCGCCACCAACAAAAAAGAGAGACTCCAGTAGTTGAGTCTTGGAAAAATTAAAGCATTTACAGTATTAAGAATTCCAAGTCTCTGTTCAAAAAATGTGGCAGTCAGACAAAATTCCAGAAATATTCTAGTTTATATATATTGTAATTGTGAAATTTGAGAATAAATCCATTGACAAAGACCTTTGTCAACACAGTACAGGCAGTCCCCGACTTACGCGGATCCAACTTACGTCGGATCCGCACTTACGAACGGGGCTTCTCTCGCCCCGGAGCTCACGGGCAGCGGGTCGCCACCCGTGTCCTCTGGGGCGAGAAAAGCTTCTCCCGGTCTCCCTGGTCTGCTGGGGGGGTCCAGCGGCTTTGCTGGACCCCCCCAGCAGACCAGGGAGACCGGGAGAAGCTTTTCTCGCCCCAGAGGACACGGGTGGCGACCCGCTGCCCGTGAGCTCCGGGGCGAGAGAAGCCCCGTTTGTAAGTGCGGATCCAACATAAGTCGGATCCGCGTAAGTCGGGGACTGCCTGTACTGTGTTGACAAAGGTCTTTGTCAATGGATTTATTCTCAAATTTCACAATTACAATATATATAAACTAGAATATTTCTGGAATTTTGTCTGACTGCCACATTTTTTGAACAGAGACTTGGAATTCTTAATACTGTAAATGCTTTAATTTTTCCAAGACTCAACTACTGGAGTCTCTCTTTTTTGTTGGTGGCGGCGGTGGTGCTCCTAATTAAATCTTGCTGTGTTACCCAGTAATTGAACACACTGATATCCTCCTTCCTGTTTACTTGTGCATTAATTTTCAAACTTTCAGAGTATTTAATGGGTATATTTTTCTTCATCTGAAAAAACATTTAGTGCCCTATATCCTAGACTGCTGATTGATCAATCAGTCGAGAGACCATATAAAATATTGGTGGAAGGACTATTAGTAGCCATACTTTGGGTCCTTTCATTAGGAAGAAGTCTCAAAAGGAGTTACCAACCTAAGAGCCCCATTCAACAAACTGGCATTTTTGGTTTGGTTATAGATTTAATAAAAATAAAATTGATATATCTCTATCACATTTATAGTGGCAAAGTAAACCCAATAAATGGATAAATTTTGAAGTAGATCATGTCATCTGCTTAACAAAAATGCAGTGCATAATGTAAACACAAAGGATAATAATACAGTCTCAGAAATGATCCAGGAGGCAAACTACAACACAAAGAAGAGACAGACTTTGATCTAAATTGAGGCATGGTAATCTCTGAAGTTAAAAGGAATGAATCAAGTCAAAGCTGTGTCTGACAGCCCAACAACAGAGCATAAATATGTTGAAGGGATATCATGGCAGATGCTACAAACTGAAAGAGCCAGTCTGTGAGCTCTAAATTTGGATTGGAAGGGGTTTTTTTTTATGAAAGTCAAATCTAACTAATTAGGAACAGCCTAAAATGTATATACAGCCTCCATTGCTATAGGCTTCTTTAGCAAGTAAACTAAAAATGTTTTAATATAGTGAGGGTCTATGCCAAGGTATTCTTATATTCAGAGATGCAGGTCACAGACGGTAGTAATTATCTTCCCATAAGTTCTAGCATATCAAATATTTTAAAAACAAGGATGTTTCCATTAATGTTTCCAATTAATGTACGTGCTATGAGTAAATGCCCCCATGACAAAGAAAAAATTAATTGTTTCAGTGTGACAAAATAATAATCAAGCATCTACAGAGAAGACAATTTCATAAATAAAAACTTGCAGAAATCACATTAAAACATTGCATTATTTTAGTGACCTACAAACCAAAACAACAATGTATTTAGCATAGGTTTTGAGAGAGAATTAAATTAACCTTATTTTACTTTTCAGCTTTTAAATCTTAGATTTTTGCTTTGTTTAGACTGCAAATATACATCATTCATAATCCTAAACTACCCGGCTCAATGTATTTCTTACTACTTTTAATCTTCCCCTTTTCATCTTCCATCTGCTTACTTCCATAAAATGTTGGGTTTTGCTTGGTTGCTCTAACTTGAATATGAATATCCAGCTCAAACTTTGTATTCAATAAAATGATTTGAAAAAAGTTTCAATCCAAATATTAGAACATAATAGTGTAAAAATCCAGATATACAAAGTAAGAAAAGTAGCAATTTTGATTTTTAGAATACAAACATTAACAATTAGGTCAGCTATAACCATATCATAAACAACCCAGAAAACTACAAATATTGACAGTGAACAGAATAAGATACCTGAAAAGGATCTTAAATATTTATCGTCCTGAGCTATCATAGCACTACTTGGCAGCATATTTATAGTTAAAGACCTGCCAACATTACTATCAAACAATGCTGGAGTTGTTTCAGATATCACTGGCTGAACTGTGACAAATTATCATTCCTGATGCATATTTTAATTTTAAAATGTTCTTCAGAAAAAAACAGCGTCTTTGATCATTGGGGCTATACAGACAATTCCAGTATTTCAAAGCTCATTGAAAAATCTAGAAAGCAACAGCAGTAGATTATATTTAGAGCAAAGATGTGCCCCATATTGTTTTAATTTCATACTACAGATGTTAAGTAGTGGTTAACTGGCTAATCAAGTAGCCAATGGAATTTTCATTCACTATTTGATTAGTTGATAAGGAAGGGAAGTGTTAGCACTCACTCCCGGCTAGTGCTGGGTCTCAACACAACCTCCCGCTGCCACTCTGCATTTTTAAAGGGAAGCTGGAAGAAGAGAATGCTGGCTGAATCCCTGGTCCAAGGTCTCAGCATTAGTGCCAGCTTTCCTTTAAAAATTCAAAGTGGCAACAAGCATAGGAGAGAGAGAGAGAGAGAGAGAGAGAGAGAGAGTGTGTGTGTGTGTGCGTGCGCGCATGCGCGCTGAGACCAGGGATTCAACCAGTGTCCTCTCCTACCGACTTCCCTTGAAAAAATGCAAGGGCGGAGAGAAGGGGAAAACGAGTGAGTAGTCGATTGTGCTACCTGATGAGCTCCTGCTTATCAACTATTCCTTTACATCCTTATTTCATACTCCAATATTTTATGTACTATTTAGAATTTGTTTTGCTGGTGTTAAACATGACAATTTTGGAATTATTAAGAAAGGGATAGAAAATAAGACACAGAATATCTTACTGCCCCTGTATAAAACTATACTACGCTCACATCTTGAGTAATGTGTATGGATGTGGTCTCCTAACAAAGGTATTTTGGCCTTGGAAAGGGTTCAGAAAAGGGCAACTAAAATGATTAGGGGTTTGGAACAGGTCTCACATGAAGAGAGGCTAAAGAGACTGGGACTTTTCAGTTTGGAGAACAGGAGACTGAGGGGGATATGATAGAGGTATATACAATCATGAGTGGTGTGGAGAGGGTGAATAAAGAAAAGTTATTCATTAGTTTCCATAATATAAAGACTAGAGTACACCAAATGAAATTAATGGGTAGCAGGTTTAACACTAATAAGCGAAAGTTCTTCTTCACACAGAGCATAGTCAACCTGTGGAACTCCTTGCCAGAGGAGGCTGTGAAGGCTAGAACTATAACAGTTTAAAGAGAAGCTAGATAAATTCATGGAGATTAGGTCCATAAAAGGCTATTAGCCAGGGAGTAGGAATGGTGTTCCTGGCCTCTATGTTTGTCAGAGGCTGGAGATGGATGGCACAAGACAAATTGCTTGATCGTTGTCTTCGGTCCACCTTCTCCGGTCCACCTTCTCTGGGGCACTTGGTGCTGGCCACTGTCAGCAGACAAGCTACTGAGCTGGATGGACCTTTGGTCTGACCCAGTACAGCCATTCTTATGTTCTTATATGCTTTATACTTTAGTATAGCAAAATGGATTTTTATATATTTTGCACAGAATAGCGCTTACATATTTTACATATAATTAAATTAGTTACAAAAGGCATCCTGAAAGTTATCA